TTAAACGTNAGTGCTAGACCATATTAACCAATATGATTTCGGTTATAAAAGATTTTTTCGTAACATGTACATTTCACCTTCCTGCACTGTTCAGTCTGGGTGGTTTGCGTGGTGCACTGTGCTGCTCATTGCGGTAGATGTGCAACAGGCACTGGTTGTGACAGCGGATGTGCCAGTTGAATCTTTTTGAATGCTTTTACTTTCAGGCAGTTGTCACACACTGGTTTCAGATATAAATAAAAATTCGATTACTATTTTTATTTTGTACTTTTTGGTAAAAAGCCGGGGCAGTTACCCAAAGCAACAACTTTTCAAAGACTTTAACTGGTCACCTTTCAAATATATCATGGACATAAAAAAGGTATGGTATTCCAATAACACACTGGATTAAATTCTAGCAACATAAATAATAATAAAAATCCACGTCATTTGTGACAGATGTAACTATGTAGCCTAGATCGGTGTTCAAAGGAAATAAATACCTCCACCCACCCACCCACCCACCCCCATCCTCCAACTAGTAAACACGGTGCAGGGTGTATTTCAGGAGTCGGGGCAGATTTTCCATGTACCCTTTCTTTACAGATATCACTTTGATTCAATTCATTTTATCATTGTATTGGCGCATACATATCAGTGGCGGATTTACAAGGGGGGGGGGGGGGGTAGACACTTTTGGACTTGTAGAATATCGTGTATCGTATGTGACTTCGAATATTTGCACGGCTTTGAGCATATGAAGGTATCACTCCCGAGTTTATTGAACATTCGTGAACAGTTTCAGTAACAACCTCTCACCTAAAACGAGCTATACCTGTTGTTATTTGCATAACAAAAGTTGTTCTTCGTAGTGAGAGCTTTCTTTCCGAATGCTCACTTGGCAGTTAGACAGGGTCGGGTGTAGACGCAACAGTATGTGTGGTGCAGTCAGAAAGTCGAGCTTTTACAAGGCGTGGAAGCAAATGTATATTTATGTGAGTATCAATATTTCTTCATCAACCACAGCCATTAAATACTAAAGGCGCAAAAGAATGAGAAAATATTTACGGCAAATATTTATGACATGAATCCTTTTACTATATTTCCATTGATACTTGTATGTCACTTGAATGGTAGAAATTATTGCTTACACTGTATTTGGACTCCAAATGTTCAGAATAAACGGCGCATTCGTCTGACTTTTGATGATAACCTAACTTTGCTTGAAATCCTCTGCATTTTGAAACCCTTTGTTTGAACATTTCGTGAGCCCCGGCCTTGACAATTAATTTTGAATATTTTGACCTAATTAAAAAACTCGTGTGTGTTTAAATGTAAGTATTAACACCCAAATTAATTACTTGGATGATGCTTGTCACCGTTCTGAGCTTTTGATCCAAGCATTTCAAGTGTTCATATACATATTTGACAGATACATATTTTACACAGCCTGTCGTCTCCATACCATTGTGCTGTTTAGTTCGAAGTTGTAAACATTGTTTTATCTTTTCAGGTGCTCAATGAGATTCTGCACAGCATCGGCCTGAAAGCAACCTTTGAAGTTTAGCCTTTGTTTCACACACAGGAACCCACGCTCCTTCGTGTATATATATATTATTATGAAAACTCAATAAAAAAACTTTTGTAATATGGCGTTTTATCATTCACTTTGTTATGAAATTATTATAATAAGGATGGTAGTAATAAATGATGGAAAATGAGTTATTTTTAGTGTTTGATGACTTTCAAATTCAATCTGATCTGTAAATAATGTAAATGATTTTGTGGCTGGCGGTTTTCTGTGGTACCTAAATTTTAAGTAGTTGTAAAATGACCAGTATTTTTTAAATAACCCCTCCAAGCTGTTTTAGCACACTGAATTAAAATATCTAAAATGGTTTTTAAAAGATTCACATGAGATTTTTGTTCTATAGGATATGGAACTAATTCGTTTGGATACAATTTTTCCTATATTTTCTTATATGGGGAGGGTTCAATTTTGACGGATTTTGGCTTTTGCTATCATAAATTGTTTAATTTGGCGGCTTGTTCTTAGTATAAATACTTTATTTAATACTTGAACATAATAATGAAAATGTGGGATGATTCTTATGTAAGCTTAAATCAAGTTGGTTTTTTAATGAATACGACTGAAATTGGCCAAAAATTTGATTTCTGAGAGTAAAACGGAACAAATTCTTCAGTTCCTGTTCTCTGAACCAAATTTGGATAATAACAAGATGCGCCCCACCTGTCACCCCTCTAATGCAATGGACTCGCCCCACCTGTCACCCCGCTAATGCAATGGACTCGCCCCACCTGTCACCCCTTCCAATGCAATGGACTCGCCCCACCTGTCACCCCTCTAATGCAATGGACTCGCCCACCTGTCACCCCTCTTATGGAATGGAATCACTCCAAATAACACCCCTTAATGTGGAATGGAGTC